AAGAGTCTTTGGATGATGCCCCCGGCTTCTGTTAAACTAGTTTCACTTGGAAAAATGTTAACCCATATGCTATGACTTTACGTAAACTTCTGTCTAACTTCGGAGATGTATGACCAACGCAGAAGTTAACATTGGCATTATAGGAACTGCATCACAGAGGCTGGGCTTCAGAGAGAGCCCATATTTTTGTCAAATCAATTAAAAATGATCACCACTCTACAACGACTCTCTGCACCATAATCACGGCAATCATTTGTAGAGGTCATGCTATTAAGAGTGCCTTGTTAAATGTGTGTTGTTGTTTTTTTTTCAGTTGAATGGATTGCAGCTGATTTTAGTTAAATTATGTAGCCAGCGTTTCTGGCTGCTAGATCTTTTGAGTAAAATGTGTTGGCAACTTTATTATGTGCATTAACAGTCCTTTCCAGTGAAATGCATTGACAGTTCTGTCCAACAGAATACATTACTATCTCGTTTTACATAAATGTGTAACCTGTTCTTTAAAATGCAATGCTTTTCCAGCTTCTTTTAGTTACATTTCTTATTAGATGTACTTGAATGTGTTGCTAACTTGTTTCAGTTTATTCGATTTACGGATCCTTCCAGTAGAAAGTGGTGCCAATTCTTTTTTTTTTTTTTCAAGAGGCACGAGTCGTTGGCTCTTACAGTTGATTGCATTGTCAATTCTTTTCAATTAATGCATTTATGGGCCATTTAAATGTACGTTTAGCCAGCTCTTTCCAGCGAAATGTACTGCAAGCTTATTAAAGCAAAATGCGTTGCCATCTCTTAGTCACAGCTGGTAGCACAATTACTTTTATTTTTGTGTTTTTTGTTACTTTGCAAACTTGTTTTGCATTTTTTTTCTTCTGCAACTGTGCCAGACATGCAAAAAGAATACTTACTCAGCCAATACAAGATTCGTGACAGCTTTAGTAATTAGAAAATAATCCACTCAGTGAATTTTATTCTGTTGGCAATAAACCTGCATGTTACTCTTGCCTGTGTCATTACTCGTATATTGCTGCCTGCCCTCTCAATCTTCTACAATGCAGAACTGTAATTGTGTATATATAGACTCTTACTCTGATTCCTTCTATTCACGAACAAGAATCATTTTTCATTTTTGTTACCTATTCCCATTTTAAAAGGAATCAGCACCATCCCACTTTTTAGCAGCAAACTGTCTAAAAAGACTTTATTCCCCTCATTCTGTGGAGTTCAACAAAAGGTCACCGATATCAGGCGGTGGGTATAAATTATGGCAATTTTCATGCATCATGTTTGCTGGCTTTTGCACACAATATGGTCACACAATTGAAAATAAAATAAAATGAATGAACTTTACAAGAAAGGGCCGGGACTCGTGAGATGTGCCACCATGCAGCCTCACTGCACAGTCTCCAAGGTAATGAGATTTTTCGACAGTTCTTGAGTTAAATGGATGTCTCCCTGATGTACAGAAATGCTTTTTTTTTTGAGTGTGTTCTTGGCAAAATGTCAAAGCAGAATTCATCTTTTTGATATCACACACTGTGTACGTTTTATTGTGTTTTCATACCTGGTCTTCAAAATCTCATATCTGGTTTTTCAATTCCTATAAAGCAGAACACACAGTATAAATAACCTTACAATCTAGAATGCTGTGCTAGTGTAAACTTTCTATGTGAGGCACGGATGGATGTTTGAGATCAGAATTCCCCTCTGCCTTGTCTCTACTGTCTTGTCTAATGCAACTGTAAAGGGTCTGTATGGTTTCATAGAAAGGGCATGTGTTTAGTTATATAACCCTCCACCACCATCCCCCGGGACATTCCATAAAAGTATTAAAATAAAAGTTTTACCTAGCTTTTAGCTTTCGGGGGACAGGAAGGTCTACTTTGGCCGCCACCAGGACGGCTCTGACTGGAGCTCCCTCGCCTGCCTCCGCTCTGCCTGGAGCACCCTCGTCTGCCTCCGTACCCGTTGGTTCCTCCCTGGGAAGTACATCGCCATTAAAGGGACATTCATTACTAGACAATTATGTTTACAAACCAAAAAAAGCAAGAAAAACTATATAGACGTTTATTACATACTTTTCAATCTTACTATTTACTGGTCAGATTGCATTGTTGGGCACACCTCCCAGGGCAGTTTCTTCAGCAACTTCCTTACCCTCCCATCACAGTCCTCTGATTACAGAACAAAGCAACATTGTGCAGCAGCTGGAGAGAGAAACCCAACACTGGAACCTGCTCTACATGATCACACTGATCAGACTTCTTGCACTTATGTAAATCTGTTAGGTATGCCCACTGCATGCTTCCAGCATTCCTAGGGATAGGACACTTATTAGTTAGATGTGCCCAGTGTTCTCCCTGGGGTGGGTGTGGAAAGCATAAGAAAGAAGAAGCAGGTAAATATAAGAAACTCCTATTTACCTGCTATTTACACCTCACAGAGTGAGTCAGCTGTCTCGTTCAAAGCTAAAGCTTTTGAATGAGACAGTTGTCTCAGTGATGCATGTCCCTTTAATTAAGATACCACCATTTATCTTTAAAGCAACATTCTACAGACTTCACAATTCCTGATTTTGGTCCTACGTAAAACACATTTTCAATAACTTTATTGTGTGTAAACAATAGAACAAAATACCTCTTAAAGCAATGAATGCTTTGCTCCCAATATCCACTTTTGGAAAGGCTAACAATGGTATTAAATCTCCTTCATTTTTGCATGACATGAGCACAGTCGCCTTGTCAGCCTCTGCTTACGAACCCCCACCAAATATCCCAATCCCCAATAAAGCACAGACACTATGGTTTTGGCAAAATTATATCACAGCTTTATTTGTAATGAACATAAATTTAAAGGTCATTGTCAACAGCAGGCCAACATTGGCCTGCACAATTAACATCCTGCATTTACAATTAACCCCTTGACAATGACCCACCCCCACATAACATAACACCCAAACATTGAACATTTTATTTAACATGAACATGACCATTGCCACCAAAGGGCACCATCCATTGCCACCAAAGGGCACCACAAGTGTAGGGGCATACCGAGACACCCCATACACACCCCGGTTCGGAGCTACCTACGAGCTCGAACCTACCAAACCAGTCCAAAGGCCTACCTATTAGCCCTGAACTCCAAACTTTTTCCCCATCTCACTCTTTTCTCCCCCCAACTTTACTCTCCATCCCCCGCCACAGCTCAGAGCTCGACTCCTCGAGCTCCTGAGCGACACCCCCCCAGGGAAAAAAGCGCTCTCTGGAGGCCCTCCTGGAAACCCAGCAACAAAAAATCCAAACCCACATCGGACAGATTGACCCCATCACTCCTATAATAACCTGGGAGCATGTCTTCCAACTCCCTGTGCCTGATCACAACCCCCCCTGACCGCCTCACGTACGCTGCCATCACCTTGTTAACCTTACCCTTATTTTCGCCACCGCGGAGGGATTCCGCGCGTGACGCCAGTACAACCTCGGAACCATTTCCGACCATACTACCATAACCCCTGGCACTAACTCCCTTAACCTGTCCACGTCCCTCTTCATACACTCGAGCAGGACCTTTTGAGGTAACGACCCCACATCATTGCCCCCTGCATGAAGCACCACTATGTCCGGAACCTGTCCCAAAAGAATTTTGTGAAACATTTCCTCACATATAACATTCCAACCCCAGCCCCGGTAACCAAACCACCGAAGCTGCACCACAGAACTTGGAAAGCCCAGCTGTAGACCGTGACGTCGAACTGCAGCTCTCCATTACGCCCAGTGTACGTATGAGTGGCCGACCACCCAGGCCATCCGACCTGTAAAACATAAAGCAAACATAGACAACCACAAAACAACCACCAACATTCCCCCTTTTCCATCCTCCAACTTAAACCAACTTGTCTGGCCTAATGTAAGACCTGAACCTCAGGGACTCCCACCTGCCAATCTTTTTCACCCGTTCGTCACCTAAACCTAGTCTCGCCGCTTCAGTAGCCGCACCAATCCTGAAAGAATGTGTCCCGAATTTGCCAGGGTCCACACCCAACACCCAGCCTTCCGAAAAACCCTGAGGAACTGGAACTTCGATAGCGAAGAGCCGTCCTCATGCTTGAAATATGAACCCCCGGCCATTGCCCGCACCTCCTGGAAGGACATTGCGCACTTAACCGGGCAAGTTCTCCCACCCGGGAGCTCCCACAACGTAACCAACGTTCCTTACCCCATTACATCTGTTTTGGACCACCTCAGGTTAATCACTACCTTGTTGCTCCACACGTCCATCACCTGAAGTCCCCCGGACCCTTGGCGATTGCTGCTAACTAGCTCGCTGACCCAAAATGCCCCAAAAAAGGCAAAACTAAAAACCACGGAAAACCAAATACCATCCAGGTAACAGAAGAGCTGCGAACAGCGCTCTTCCGCCTTTTTGCCCATCAGTTCCCAAACGTCTTAGGTATCTTCCTATACCTCCGCTTCTTTTCCACCTCCTCCTTTTTTGCATCCTTTTTATCCTCCTCCTTGAGGTCAATGTAGTCCTCAAGGGGGAGAAGCGAAAAGATTTCCACAAACTCCCCTTTCCATATCCTCTCCTTAACCTCCAGTGGGCCTGCGAAAGAAACATGAACGTTCTGCCGCGCGGCCTCCGGGACGCCCCCCAATACGCTCTCCCTCTCACTTGCCAACCCAGGCGCCTCTACTGTGGGGGTCGCACCCCCGTCCCCAACTGTGCTACCTCCGGCCCCAGAAACCCTCGTGAGCCTGCACAGCAGCCCGCCTCCTCTCCGGGGAACTCACGCTCATGGAACTGCCATCCTGCTGCGACCATCCCCTTGAACCGATAGGGGGCGCCCTATGCCTCCCCCAGGTGTGGTCCACCCCGCGGGGGTCCCTGTCAACTACATCAGCTACCCTCCGATGACTGCTTCGTGACCGGTCCCTCCCGGCGCCTTGTCATCTTCGCTGGTGCCAACCTTCTGCGCTGTTCATCACTGTTACTCCCTTCCGATCCTCCCCTAACTACCAGCCTCGCCTGTCATTGTCCCTTTCCCGGTCGTATAGGAAAACCCGGGGAAGCGCTGCGCTCCCGCCCGCTGCCTGATGACCCTCTGTTCCGTCTTGCTGCGCTATACCCCTCTGGACCGCTCCGTGCCTTAGCCGTCCCCTGTCTGCCTCTTGCCCCCCTGCTGTCACCAGCCAAGCCAACCCCGGGGCCCACCCCCGGGGTAACCCGTGGCCCAGCCATTGGCGGGGCATTGGCATCAGAGGTCGACTCACCCGGACGGTGTATAGCCGTTATCCCTGTTCCTCCAACAGCGCTTCCAGCGTTTCCGTGACCTGCTGCCAAGCCTGCTGTACCGCTCATCCTTCTTCCACTGGCCCGTGCTTGTCCAGGCCCCTTTCAAGGAATCCTATCACCTGCGACCGCTTCTCCTTCATTCCCTGCAAAAGAAGACACAAAAACCGAACGTTCGTCAGTTTTGTTGCCTCCCCGTTCGGCAGCCGAACGGCCGGCAGTATGGCTATCTCCCCGTTCAACTCCTGAACGTTTGGCAGTTCTTTCACCTCTCCGCTCGGGAACCGAGTAACAATACCTCCATGTTCGGCTCCCGAACGTTCGGCAGTTGTCTCTTGTAAATGTGAGCTCTCTACCATTATTTTCTATCACGTCCATATTTGAGCTATACATATTGCACTATTGGTTGTCCCTCTCTTTTATCTTCTATATAAGTGGAACCACCACTATATCAGAAGACCCTACTATTGTGCCAGCCTCCTTAAAAGACTATTCGTAAGGACATACAAGTTGGACTTCTTTTTATTTGGACTTTGTTTTCTTTTATTCTGGTTTTAATATTTTATGTGGCGCAGCCTTTTCTATTTGTTGCTTTTATTGCTCCCATCTATACCCTGCACTGTCTGATCCACCAACGTGTCTGATCCATCATGGGGTCTGATCCACCATCGGGTCTGATCCACCATCGGGTCTGATCCACCAACGGGTCTGATCCATCATGGGGTCTAATCCACCATCGGGTCTGATCCACCAACGGGTCTGATCCACCATTGAGTCTGATCCACCAATGGGTCTGATCCATCATGGGGTCTAATCCACCATCGGGTCTGATCCACCAACGGGTATGATCCATCATCGGGTCTGATGCACCATCGGGTCTGATCCACCAACGGGTCTGATCCATCATCGGGTCTGATCCACCATGGGGTCTGATCCACCAACGGGTCTGATCCATCATCGGGTCTGATACACCATCGGGTCTGATCCACTATCGGGTCTGATCCACTATCGGGTACACCGTGAAATGGACAAGATGTTTTTGTGACTTGTAGACTTCATATTTACTGAATAGTAAGAAAGGTAGAGTACGGATTGTGCCCAATGCATGCCCCATCAAACATGGGTCTTTCATCCTAAACACATATGTTTACACAGGAATAGAACATTTTGTAATCATCGATTTATGCAAGTTTCCACCATTATTGTTATAAAAATCTCTATTTCGCTGTTCATTTAAGAACCAAAATTGATTTTCCCTGCTTGAAAAATAAAGTAATTATAATCAAAGTGAGACTAATAAAATCCCAACATATAAAATGACACAGAAAGAAGGCGGGCAAATAAGTCCTCTTCGTGTTAATTGCTTTCCTATTATAATAACTCACATTTTCTTTCAATAATGCCAATGTTTTCTTACACAGGCCGTAGACAAGCCAAGGCTTATTTTCTTAAGTGATTGAACAGCTCCCCTTGCTGGTATAGATGCAAACTGTAAAACAATCAACTCTGGTAAAAAAAACTGCAGTTTTGAATAAACCTGTTATCAGGGGAAAATACATGAATTAATACATTTTTATAATTAATATTTCTATTTTCATTTTTTATTGTTTTAACAGTATTTTGAATAAAAACTTTCGACCTAAATTGTAAAACCTGCTTTACCAGTGTATACCTCTGACCAGTCCTGGATCTGGCTGGGCTAGTCCGATTTATGACCCTTTTGTGTGAGGTCTCTTTTTAATTTCCCACACTATAAATGTTCTTGCAGTTGAATTCAGCTATTACAGGACATTTTACAGCACTGCCATAGTGTTCTACACATGCGCAGCCCTGATTGTCAGGACGGACTTTGTATAGCTATTTACACAAGCCCCATTTTGCCACCCTCTCCTTTCCTGGTTTCATAACATACATGCCCATGTTGGCACGGACAGGCTGGGTTAGGAGGAGCAGAAGCCAAAGTAAAGGCATGTCAGTAACACAATTCTGACATGCCAAGCTGTAAAGATCTTGTGTAATTCCTGAATGCAAGCAGCATTGCGCATGTGCATTGCATATGTAAAGTGCTCACAAATCTGCTAAAATGTGGTATATATACACACAGCTACATAGAGGGAGTGTATGTTTGCACAAGTGTATATCTGTGTACCTGTATCTTGGTGTAAAGCGCTACTCTACACCAAGAAAAGAACCTCGGCTTGCTGAAGTGCTTTATGGGTGAGAAGTAGTCCATTTTTAAAGGCACTTTATAAAAGTGCAGATTTCTATGAGGATATCGGTACTTTTATAATTAATTAATGAAACACCCTTCTGGCTGTCAATCAGACAATGTGTCAGGGAGCTTTGCTTCCTGTTTCCGTTAGGTCCCTTGAGGTAACAGAAGTGGCCGGCTTGCTCTACGTGAGCACGCTCATGCTGTCAAGGCCACCCGATGGAAATGGATTGTCAGAGGGCCGATCAGCGCTGGGCGCTTTAACAGCGCAACCGGGCCCCCTGTGATGACATCACACGCTGGGAGGAAGTGACTGCACGTCACTCCTCCCAGCTATCACTGAGAGCCTGTGCGGGAGGAAGAACAGGGAGTCAGAGTGGGAACTCTGACTCCAATCAACCTGAGCCACCACTGGACCCCATTGAAAGTCACCATCCTGCACCTACGAGGTAGGAAACAGGAGGGTGACTTAAATATTATGTGTGTGTGTTTGTTTTTGTTTGTATGTATGTGTGTGTCTCTATCTGACTGTATGTATGTGTGCCTGTCTGTTTGTACGTATGTGTCTTTGTATGTATGTCTTGTGTGTGTGTGTGTGTCTGTCTCTCTGTATGTGTGTCTTTGTATGTATGTGTGTCTTGTGTGTGTGTGTGTCTGTATGTATGTATGTATGTATGTCTGTGCATTCAGCAGTTTGTGTGTGTATACAGCAGTCTGTGTGTGTTAGTATTCAGCAGTCTGTGTGTGTATGTTTTCAGCTGTGCAGGGCCGGCGCTTCCTATAAGGCGAACTAGGCAGCCGTGGAGAAGATTACAGGGAGGGAAGGGGAGAGGAGCTCGGCCATGCTACAGGGAAGTGGAGGTGAGGAGAAGAAGAGAAGATTACGGGGGAGAGTGGAGAAGATTACAGGGGGGGGAGTGGAGAAGATTGGAGGGGTGAGAAGAGATTACAGGCAGGGGAGAACACAGGGGGAGGGGAAGAGTGGAGAACACAGGGGAGGAGGTAAGAGGAGAACAGGGAGGGAAGAAGAGGAGAACACGGGGGAAGAAGAAGGGAGAAGTGGGGAGATGAGAACAGGGGGTTGAGGGAAGGCGTGGGGGAGGAGAGACCACTAAAAGTAGGGGGGGGTGGTGGAGAGAGACCACTAGGGGAGGGGTGAGGAGAGGCACTGTGGAGGTGGAGGATAGACCACTAGGAGAGGGTGGGGGCAGGGAGAGCAGAGACCACTAAGGGGGAGACGAAAGACCACTAATGGAAAGTCGGGGCGAAAAGGAGACCACTTAGGGAGGTGGGGGGGGAGAGAGGAGAGACCGCTAAGGGGCAGGGGAGATCTCTAAGGGATGGAAGGGAGAGCTCTATAGGACAGGGGGCAGGACAGGGAGCTCTTTCACACTACGCACACACACACACACACAATGCATCCCTATACACACACAGAAACACAACATGCTTCCCTTACACACCTCTTCCAGGCTAGCTAACCTGCCCCTCCATTCCGAGATGTGCTCATGGATTAAAGGTATGGTTACCCTTGCACGTTCCGTGTCTCACCTTGCAGCACCTCTCACACACTGAATCTCTTGAACACACACTGCACCCCTACACACTAAATTCCCTATAGACACTACATACCTTATACACACACTACATGCCAGACAAACACATTACATCCCTTATACAAACTCTGGATCATCTATGCACACAATAGATCCCATGTACGCAAACACATACTTAAATTCCGAAACACACACTCTTTACAGACCATATACACACTACATCACCTATACAGCCACTATGCACATTCTAGCTACATCCCCTTTACACACATACTCTCTTGCTCTCTACAACCGCTAGCCACACATTTTATACCACAAACATAACACCACTGAAACTGACCGATTTACACAAAATACCACACCACAATCAGCTCACAATACACACGCAATCCTACAAGCAGCCTTCATGCACAATGCACTTTCCTGGCCCTTTTGTCCTCTAGTATCCCACTTATTGAGACACCAGAGACAGGTTACAAACAGGGCCGAACTGGCCCACCGGGATACCAGGGTATTTCCCAGTGGGCCACAGCACCTGGGGCTGGCAGGAAGCCCTGATTTGTAATTTAAATAATTTTCCCTCGGACTGTAACAGCCTGTGTTACAGAAGGGAGGGAGTGGCTGGGGCTGCCCATTTAGGCTGCCAGGGGGCCGGAGGGAGTTCTGAGTCTCCCACCTGAATCTTCAGCAATTGGTGCCTCTATTCTCCGCCCCGGACTCAAGCCCTGCCTCCCAGATTCAAGCACCGCCTCCCACGATCAAGCTCCACCCCCACATGCTGCTGACCTGGAAGGGAGAGGTCAGAAAATGGAGACACTTCCCAGTGCTCCTTGTCTCCCACAGCCTTCTGTGACAGGTGAGCTTCAGCCCATGACAGTGAGTGTGTGTGTGTGCCTGCTAGTGAGTGAGCTTGTATGTGTGTGTGTGTCAGTGAGCTTGTCTGTAGTGAGCATGTTTGCGTGTGTCAGTGAGCTTGTATGGAGGGAGCATGTGTGTGTCAGTGAGTTTGTCTGGAGTGAGCATGTGTGTGTCAGTGAGATTGTCTGTGTCTGCAAGTGAGTATGCTTACTATATAATTAAACTTTTTACCCTGAACGACCCAATATTTTGAATTAGAAAAAGGAACATACCAATAATACATATATATATATACATATACACAAACACTTCTTAATCCATACCAGCACTCTGGGTCGTCCAATACAAATAAAAACAACACTAGGGCCATTCATCAGGACAATAAAAATATAATAAATACTATTGTGACGAAAGTAACCTCGTCACTGGCTTTTGGAGGGGCCTGTTTGCCAGCCTCCTACCCTGTGATTATGGCCCTGTGACAAATTGAACCTCGTCAAGGGTTCTTGGAGGGGCCCGCTGGCCAGCCTATTGCCTCAGGAATATGGGCCCTGCAATATACCTTGCCCAATGCACTTTAAAAGGCTCTGTTCATGTGAAGTATGTACTTTTGCACTCCAGACAGAGAGACCGAGTAGTGATGTCCCGAACAGTTCGCAAACGGTTCGCCACGGACTCATCATTGAGTAAACTTTGACCCTGTACCTCACAGTCAGCAGACACATTCCAGCCAATCAGCAGCAGACCCTCCCTCCCAGACCCTCCACCTCCTGGACAGCTCACTAAGAATGCAGCTTCACAATGGATGCTGTCCAGGAGGTGGGAGGGTCTGGGAGGGAGGGTCTGCTGCTGATTGGCTGGAATGTGTCTGCTGACTGTGAGGTACAGGGTCAAAGTTTACTCAATGATGAGTCCGCGGCGTACCCTTCGGACATCACTAACTGTTAGCCCTAATTTTATGTCAGGGCAGGAGGCTTCATATTTGCTTTACCTTCTTTACTGAAACCTCCAGCAGCAAAGATACAGTTAACAGAACTTTTCAAAACAACCAATCAGAACAAAGCAACAGTAGTATAAAACCCCTAAGCAGGCTCTTCCACTTCCTCTTTCTTTGCTGCTGCCTCCAGGTGAGCACTCACCAACTCAGAGTTGTCTCTGCTCTTGGTTGTTTTTTTATCCTACATGCTGCTTGTTTATTTAAACAGTCTATTTAATTAGTCTATTTGTTAGGTTTGTTTAGGCAGCTTAATTGCTGGATTTGTTTGAACAGTTTGTCTGCTCTGTTTATCTAGGCAGTCTATTGCTGGGTTTAGCTAGGCAGTCTATTGC